AAAAAAAAAAAACAAAGGTTCATATCCCAGTATTTCCCCTTGTAGGAATATTGTCGAAGAAAATAATCTGAAATGCAGAGAGATTTATGCCCCCAAATGAGCAGTAGAACATTATTTACAATAGGAAGTAATTGATGTTATCAGTAAAAGGATTATGTGGTCACTAAAATATAACACAAAGAGGTGTGAATTACGTGGGAAAATACATACAAAAAAATCAGGATATGAAATTAAAAGTTGTCTCGATGGTATGAGTTCAGGTGTGCATAGAAAAATGTGTAAGAAAACACACTGAATAGTAACAGTATGTGGATAATGAGCATTAAAAACCGACTTCCTGATACTCTCCTGTGTTTTCCAAATCTTTTACACTGACCAGATTTTTAATAGCCCTGATAATCAGAAAAGCCGGTTACTTAGAAGAGTAAAAATCCTCTCTTACAAACGTATATATTGTTCAGAATCTCTGAGTAAAGAGAAAAACTCTGGTGTCCCTTGGACCTAAGGCTAACAATGTGCCTGTCACTTGGCCCTCAGGGTTCTGTGGTGTTGGCTCCCTTGGTGGTGGTATGGGGAGCACCCAGGTGGCTGCTGTCCTATTCCCCCTTTTTGGCTTGCTCAGCAGTATGTTCTGCTAACTAGAGAGGACTTTTTTTGTCATCCAGTTTTAAAATTCTAATTGTAGGTGAATTTGACAGTCAAGAAGATGATATTCACTTAGTGACATTATGCGTGACAGGTAAGTTCTACTGTTTTTCCTAAAACAAAGCTATGGGTTTCAGGACCATTTTGTCCCGTCCGTCCCCCCCCCACCCCCCACCCCCCGCTTCCAGCAGGACCTAGAACTAGTCATGACAGGACCTATGACACAAGTCATAGAAGACACACCAATTTGTCACTGCTTTGCTGACTTTGGTTCTGGCTTTTCTCATTGCTAGAATGGCCTTCCTCTCCTGGCCCACGTCCAAATCCTGTTCAGCCTTAGTTCAGTTCACATGCTGACTCCCCCAGGAT